CTTAAATTAGTCTTTGTTAGTGTTATCATTGATCTGATACATCACTGCTGCAATAACTATTGTTTTATGTATTGTATAATGTTCATATTAAGATTTTGATACATAACTCTAATGTTGTTGAATCTTTGATTAGTGTATATCACGTTCAATATAAATATATTTGATGTATAAACTTTGTGTATTTATTACACACACCAAAAAGAGGCTATTTTGAAACGTTCAATATAAATATATTTGATGTATAAACTTCATATAGTATTTTTAGTTATGATACGTAAATTCAAATTTATACTAAATAATACATAACTATTACCAAACATTAATATATCTATCTCAAACAATTACTATAATGTATATTTTTTTTTAATTTTAAAATGTAGTATTTCTCAAACAAAATAAGAGACATAAACAATAATGTATCATACACTATTTTTTAGTTATGATATGTAAATTCGAATTTATACTAAATGTGTCTGATACATAACAATTACAAAACAATAATGTATAAATCTCAAACTTAAAATCTTATGGGCAAAACTTACTTATTTAATGTATCTTGTAGAAATACAACATTTATTAATTTGAATCAAAAGGATCTACATGATCTCAAACAAAATAAGATATATAAATAATAATGTATTATGCACTAATTGTTTTTTGTTATGATACGTAAATTTGAATTTATAATAAATGTATCACATACATAACAATTGCCAAATAAATATGTATCGGTCACAAACCTAAAATCTTATGGGCAACACTTCCTTATTTAGTGTACCTAGTAGAAATACAACACTAATCAATTTAAATTGAAAGAATCTTCACGATGTATCTTCTCAAAAATTTTGATAATTTTTAATCAAAATTGAAAGAATCTTTAATGAACTAGGAGAATTATTATGAAATTCAAAATTTTCAACAATTTTGAATTAAAATGGAAAAGATCTTCAATGATATTGAGAAGAATTTTGAATCTCAAAATTTTTGACAGATTTGAATAAAAACCGAAAAGATATTCGATGAACTTGAAGATTCACAAAAAAAATTGTTTGTCCAACAGCAATTCCATACATTCCTTCATAACTCACTTCGCTTTTCAAAATTTCGACAAAGTTTTTTAGAAAACAGAGAGAACGATGGACAACAAGAAGAAATATTTTTTATATTTTTTTGAATTGTTACACTATAGGATTTTGAATCATGACAAAATTTTTAATAAAATAACATAATTTATGAAATCTTAATTAATTTTCAGATTTTCCCCTTTATTAGTGAAACAAATGGGTACTATCAGATTTTAAATTGATTTTACAAATTTTTTCCTTAATAAGTGCAACAGACTGATACATAATGTATCAACAATAATGTATATGGTTTCTTAATTATGTATCTAAAATGCCTAAAGAATATGAGATTTATGTAATTACAAAAAATAATAGGAATAGAAGGTAATTAAGGTTTTACACTATGGAATTTATGTAAGTTACACAATTATTTAAACTGAAAAATATAACTCACTTAATTGTATACTTGTTAACTCCAAACCATTGTAAATAATAGATATATTTATTATTCCCTGTTGCTAAATATTTATTTACATATAATAGATATTGAACTCCCTTTTGCTAAATATTTTTTCAGATTTTTAACCCACTTATTAAAATGTTGGATCCGACACTACTTCCTGGAGTCTATATGAAGAAAACAAATCAACAGTTATCATAAATTTTAAACAATTTATTTATTTTAAAGTATGAAAAATTTTAAAAAAATCATTAATACAGAGAGTTAGAATAATATGATAATATGAAATCTACTAAAAAATTTCCAAAAAACAATCAGATGATACAACATTTAATAGAATTTGCCCAAAAAACATTGAAATGCATGAATAATATTTTTACATTTGTAGTGTGAAACTGAAAACTTTTCGCAAATTTTTATGCAGTGATTTTCCAGACACGTGTCAAGTTCCATTCTGTTTCTCAGTTGATAATTATAACTGACAAGTGTCATTTTCAGTCAGTTACTTCTTATTTAGACCCTAGCTAAATTGTGTTTTTTAGATCAATTTCTCAAGTACCTTCTTAACCACGTGACAAGGAGCTATTTCTTCATTTTCACTTACACCCACGAAAAAGAAATACCGCTTCACGTTTTTTCCACTCTCACGCCTCAATTTTTTCCTTTTATAATCTCGCAATTGACTGAAGGTTTCTCCTAGCATTCATCAATAAAAGTGAATTTCATACTTCCATAGAGGTTTTTATCCTATTAAGTTTATTTAGTTTGTAATTCAATAAGTTTCTAATATTTTTAATTTTTGCTAACATGGAGAGTAATTCAATAACTTTCTTATTTTTTTAGTTTTTGCTCACATGGAGAGAGCTAATTATCAAGCCAAAGGAAAAAGGATTGTAGAGGATGTAAGTGTAGAGCTAACATTAGGGCTGAGTGACTTTAGGGATTCTTCGAAAAAATCGAAGATACCAAACATTCTTCGTCAATAGTTAATGATGAGCATTCTTATAAAAACAGTAATACATATGTGAATTATTTTTAATTTTCAGTCATCAGACGTGCTTTGTTGCCTATGGAGGCTGAGGCTGAGTGGAGGCAACAGAAAAATCCGTTTTCAATTAGGAAGTCATTGCCGCCGATGGATACTGAAATGGAGTAAAGGCAACAAAATTATCCATTTTCTGTGTTAACAAGAGGTCTTCGTTGCCGATGGAGTCTGAAGTAGAGTACTTGAGGCAAAGAAATGATCCATTTTCTGTTACTAGGATGTCTTCGTTTCCGATGGATACTGAAATCGAGTGGAGGCAAAGGTTGAAGGCTGAAATGGATTGGAGGCGAAGAATGGAGACGGAAATCGAGTGGAGGTGTAGAATGAATACTGAAATGGAGTGGAGGAAATGTAATAATTCATTTCCAATTATGAAGACAGCTATGTTGCTGCTAGTGGGGACTGAGATGGAGTGGAGGCAAATCAATGATCCTTTTTGTGTTATGAGGACATCTCCCATGCCTCCGATGGAGACTTAAATTTGAATGGAGGCAAATCAGTGATCCATTTTTTGTTAACAGGATGGCATCTTTGCCAACAATAAAGACTGAGGAGGAGTGGATGCAATGGAGGAAAAGTGAAGGTAGTTTGTCTTTGTCATGGTAATTTTCTGACCCTCACTGAATTTGTTATGGGGCTGTAGCTATGGATTGAATGTTGATTATTAATTGCGTTTAGAATTAATTATTGGTTTTCATTATAAGTTACTTCTATATTCTTATTTTAGTATTTCATGTCTGATCATTATGAGACAAATCTATTGTCTAATCTTAAAATCGAGAGAGGAGAGCTTAGATAGACCAGAGAATATAGAGAGATCGAACGACCCATTAGATTGAGGTGATTTGTGTTTAGGAGTGACGCTCGAACGAACAACTTGCTTGGTAATGAAATAGGATGAAATATAAATGCTTGCCAATTTAGTTTACTTATCTCTGCTCAACGATGTAGTCAGGTATCTAATTGGAGTACGCGACGAGAAGTCTGTAGCCCAACTCATATAATTAACCCTATAAACGAGTAACTTGACAGTTAAAATTAGTTCTAAGCCAGAAATATTATACATAAAATCCAATATATGTTGCAGCCCTGGGATTTTCCTACTATCGTATGTAATTTATTATTTTATTTCTGCATTCTTTTTCTTTGGCACTCTTAAATAAATAATTAGACTAGTATAATTTAGTAAAAATAGTTAATTAACAAGTCCTTTGGAATCGATAAACTGGTTCTTTTATGAGCCACTATATTACTTACACGACCATGTACACTTGTGCAATTGGAAGCAACAATTGCTTGTAACTAAACCTCAAATAAACATTCCATAGAATGGGGTGGTTGTTTTGGTAACAAGATGCTTAACCGGAAGGGATAAGTTAAAAAGGAAAATCGCGAAGACCTTTTTCCTTGCTCCACAGGGCAAGGGTTATTGTTGTTTTGAATGATGTTTTTAGGTATGTCAAAGAAAATGAGATTGATACAATCTCAGAAGTGGTTAATGAAACTAATGATATGCAGTCAGAGGCTTTGACCCGCGATCCAGGTTGGATCTCTTTTCTAATTCAATAAATATACTTGTTCTTGTATCCTCTTAAAATATTTTACTATTTCAATTTTGAATACAGAACCTACTCATGTGTTTAATCCTCCAAATCTCGACCAAGCTGGCTCACCTGCAGAAGAAGTTCAACTTGTTGAGGAAAAAGACAGTGACTCTTTGGAAGATGGGAGACAAGTTGCTGATGAAAGAGAGATTGTTGTGGAGACTGAATAACATTTCAACGAGAACTAGCACCCTACAAATATAGAATCAGCTAATTCTGTTGCCCAAGAAGATGCTCCAAAGAAGTCATATCCATCAGTTCACAAACAAAGAAAGGGCCATACAAAATCTATGCACCCACCAATACTTGCAGAATGGCTCCTCCGAAGGCTGTAAAGCAGACGGTTGTTGAAGTAGCACAAACTGCAGCTCTTGAAGTATCAAATCCTACTACCCCTAGTGGAACCGATGTACATGAAGATAATTATGCTTAAGATGAAGGTATAATATCTTGAATCCTGTCTGAAATAAACTCATTACTTCCATCTTGTGATGGACACATATATATGTCAAAAAGATGGAATAAGGATGTTCATATTTCTAATATTTTTAGCAAATAAAGGAGAAGAATAAGTAGATGTCTTTTGAGTTTGATCTAGATGTTGTATTATTTGATCTGCTTGCGATTGTCATGTTCATTCTGCTTCTGAATTTCTCATTATTGACAGTCCGTGCAAGAGCACATTTTCATCTAATTTACTTAAATTTTAAATTTTAATTAAAATCAAAGTAAATCAAATGACTATGTACTCTTACTGGGACCGTAAATAATAAGAAAGTCTAAAGCAGAATAAGCATAACAATGCTAGTAGATCAAATAATCCAATTGTTAGGATCGGAAATAAGTAGGTGTAAACGCGGAAGCTAGCAAAGCAAACTTCAAAAGACCACGAGTAAGAAGACAATGAGAAACATACCAAAAGACACAGAGATTTAACGTGGTTCGGTCAATCGACCTACGTCCACAAAGGAGATGAGCAATCCACTATAAATATGAGAGTACAAATACAGAGAGAAAAAACCTCAATCAATTCACTCGGAATACATGGGAGGTTCACACAAGTAATAACGTATCAAGCTTGTGACCCACAAATTCTCCCTCTAACCAAAACTCTCAAAGCCCTTAAGACTACATTGTGAATGCTGATTAAGTTAGAAGGAACATGCCTCTATTTATAGAGTCCTAAACCTTATCCTACCAAAAAAGGATTAGTCAATTCAAAACCTTTTCCTAAGAGGAAAACCTATTTATGGTAAGAAATCGGGGTAAATAAAACCCAACAAATCTCCCCCTTGGCCTGAATTTCTGACAAAATAAATTTGTCCACCTTCTTCACTTAATCTTCAACAACTTGCTTCTTCTCTCCATAATCTCCTTTGCAAAATTTATGTCTCAACACAAAGAATCTCTCTGAAATAATTTCTCCAACAAAATCTTCATTACTGTCAAAAAGGTTACTGCTAGAACTACACCGCCAAGATGAACACATCTTTCTAACCTGGTTCAATCATCGATTATCGAACCACTGAACCTAACTCCGTCATTGAATCTGGCTCTGATACCACTTGTTAGGACAAAAAATAAGCAGGTGTAAACGCGGAAGCTAGCAAAGCAAACCTCGAAAGACCACGAGTACGAAGACAACGAGAAATATACCAAAAGACACAGAGATTTAACGTGGTTCGATCAATCGACCTACATCCACAAAGGAGATGAGCAATCCACTATAAATATCAGAGTACAAAATACAAAGGGAAACAACCTCACCAATTCACTCAGAATACATGAGAGGTTCACACAAGTGATAACGTATCAAGCTTGTGATCCACAAATTCTCCCTCTAACCGAAACTCTGAAAGCCCTTAAGACTACATTGTGAATGTTGATTAAGTTAGAAGGAACATGCCTCTATTTATAGAGTCCTAAACCTTTTCCTACTAAAAAAAGATTAGTCAATTCAAAACCTTTTCCTAAGAGGAAAACCTATTTATGGTAATAAATCAGGACAAATAAAACCCAACACCAACATCTAGATCGAAGCACATTTACTTGTTATGATACTTCATTTGCTCAAAATTAAATATAACATGCCTGTTTCATTTATTTTGTCACATATAGATGTGTCCATCACATAATGGAAGTAATGGGTCTATTTCAGGCAAGTTTCAAAGAAATTATATATTCATATTCCATATCATTAGTTTCAGGTTCATTAATTCCACCAGGGGCTGTAGTATTTGATGCTTCAAGAGCTGTAGTTTGTGCTACTGTAGCAACCGACTGTTTTACAGCCTTTGGAGGAGACATTCTGGAAGTATTTGTGGGTACCTAGAATTTGGATGGCCCTTTATTTTTTGTGAAGTGACGATTGATGCATATCACTTCTTTGGAGAATCCTCTTGGGCAACAGAAGTAGCGGATTCTGTATTTGCTGGGTTCTTATCCTCATTGTAACGAGATTCAATTTCCACAACAATCTATCTTTCATCACCGACATGTCTTCCATCTTCCAAAGAGTCGTTGACCGTTTCCTCAACATGTTGAACTTCTTCTACATGTGAGCCAACTTGGCCGAGATTTCGAGGATCAACGACATGAGTAAGTTTTGGATTCAATATGAAGATAGTAAAAATTATTAAGACAAAACAAGAACAACTACACTTTTTGATTTAGAAGAGAGATCCTACATGGATTAGGAGTTGAAACCTCTAAGTAGACATCCTCAGTTCCATTAGTAATTGTTGAGACGGTATCAGTCTTGTTTTCTTCTACATACCTAAAAACATCATTTAAAACAAAATAACCCTTGTCTTGTAGAGCAAGGAAAAATGTGGAGGTGAATTTCCTTTTTAACTTATCTATCCCCTGTTAAACATCCCTTCACCAAAACAACCAACCCATCCTTAAAGGAATCATATGCATCTACAGTCTTTATTACGACCTTGTAGTTCCTGTAGTCCAATGGACATATCAAAGTATTGATATTCTGCTCAAACATCAAGAAAAACAATAAGGTTATAAATATGCATATGTTACTTATATCTTATACTGTTAAGAGCTAATTACATAATTTTCCTATATTTTTAAAAAATTACAAAATCTCTTAAAATTTATGGGTTTTGGATACATTACTTAACATTACTCGTCTTTCATATACATAGGTGAGGGATGTATCTGTGAGGGTAGGGATGTATCAAAGAGGGGATATAACATCCTAATACATCACTTGACTTATAGATACATTAGCAGATATCCGGATACATAGGTGAGAATGTATCAGGGGGAAGTGTATTTGAGAGGGGATATAATGTATCATCGAGAGGAAAGTGATGTACTCGAGAAGAGATTTTTGAAATATTTTTAAATGGTAAAGAATTTTAGAGATTATGGTAATATAAGATGTGTATTTAGATTATTTTTCCTTTTCAAGTATTGCAAGATAGTATTCAATTGAATTCACCTTACTATGCAATTCTTGCTAATGCTTCTTCAATTAATGTATCTCTAAACAAGATTTAAAAGAAGGTGCAACCGTTCTAACTTTGGGTATAACAACAAATCTTCTCGGTCATATTATAGAGTGGATAACATGAGTTGAAGTCAAAACTTCTAAACCTATTTTTTAACTGTTAAATCTGTTGTTTTTGTCTCGAAATCTTACTGGATAATGAGTCACGTTCCATCCTTCTTTACTTAAATACTAAACCCGATTCACAACAGAGTTTGAAATCATGACGTGTGTGCACCTCATGTCCATGTTGTACTACCTTTGCTATTATATTTAAGGCATTGAAGGATAGTTCTCAAACGAACATTCCAATACTACCTACCACAAACATGTTCTTTGAAACCACAACCTAAAAGTTGTTACATCAAGTTTTAATACTCACTTTCAGGTTCAAATCGGAAGTAATTTTTGGTGTTAGTTATAAGAACTATTCCTCTACAACACTCAATTGAGTGCCCATTACCAACAAGTACACCTTTTTCCTACGTATGATATAGCCTATTCGAACATAATTTGTATTATCTTCTTTTATTTTGATAGGTAAATAAGATTACACTTACATAACAATTAGTGAAGTTTACAACTTCTATCAATCAATAATTCTTTTGTAAGTCAAGTATCTTATCACATTATATCCGCTCAATCTTAGTCGTTATTGTGATTTTGCACTAATAGTTCATGCGCTTTTCGTTGTTCAATCTCACAACAGTTCTTTTTATCATATTACGTCTTAAACACATGTATCTAGTTTTACCATAGAAAAATTTAGTTTTATTCCATTTAGAATACACACTAAGAGTTATTTTAACCATTTAGTCTGATCACTTATCAACTCCAGTACATCAACTAACTCTAATTTAGTTGTCTTTTATGTTTTGGCACCGTCATCAATAATAACTCATCATTACTAGCGAATTTTAAGATTCATATTGCATCATTTTACCCTTCTAGAGTTCTAGTACAACAAAATATTAAATTTATTTTATACTATACTTGTGGCACCTCTCATGTATCAACAATTATTTCTTTAAAAAATAATGCATCAAAATGCAATATGTCACGACCCAAATCGAGCCGCAACTGGCACCCACACTTACCCTCCTATGTGAGCGAACCAATCAATACAAAACCCAACATTTCGAATATAATAACATAATATAATGCAGAAGACTTAAACTCATTAATGAAGATCAATTAAATAACTTCTAAAACTCAAACATTTATTATTATCCCCAAAATCTGGAAGTCATCATCACAAGAACATCTATCCTTAAAATACTAATCTAAGAGTATCTAAGAAGCTAAAAATACATAAAAAGCTAGTCCATGCCAGAACTCCAAGGCATCAATACATGAAGAGGAAGATCCAGTCCAAGCTAGAAGCATAGCTCACCCTGAAATCCGGGATAATGAAGACTGGCTAGAGTTGCGGTTGAGTTGAAGACGACGGTATGTTTGCTGCACTCCACATATAACAAAGAGAGAAACATACAAGTAGGGGTCAGTACAAAACACGGGTACTGAGTAGATATCATCGGCCAACTCAAAATAGAAAACAATATATATCAGATCATATCATAAATCAACTACAATACTCAATCTGTAGCAACAACATGTACAAGAATCTTTGATAAATAACGTCAAGTACACTCATGAGGACTCAGGCCTCCATATCATGCTCATTTGGGAATTAGGTTCATTAGATTGAGTATATTAACATCTTTCAAGATTCATCACCTTTATTCTTGTGTCGGTACGTGACACTCCGCTCCCCTACTACTATGTGTCAGAACGTGACACTTCGATCCCCTAGTTCTACGTGTCGGTTCGTGACACCCGATCCCTTAATTCTACGTGTCGGTTCATGACACCCGATCCCCTAATTCTACGTGTCGGTTCGT